CCTTGCCTCCCACGACTAATGGGTATTAGGCTCACTAGCTCATATGAATATATGAGCCCAACGTTCCAGATTGAATCTGGGCCGATCTAACGATCACGGTTGTCTGATAGTGTTTGAATTTTAGTTTTTTTTTTGCAAATCTAAATAACTTGAAATCTTAGGCGTGTGTTCATCACAAATAGGTAAATCTTTGAAAAATATCAAAAACATATTTTACAGAAAATAAATTCACTAAAATACCCCAAAATAATTCGAGGGGTATTTTGGTTATTGTTTTTTTCACGAATAAATTTTTTCTATTCTAATTAGGTGCACGTTGATGAGAAAAACACACACCTAAAATTTTAATTAATTTGGATTTGTAGAAAATAAATAAAATTCAAACACTACCTGACATCCGTGATCATCAGATCGGCCTAGATTCAATAAATCTGGGCTGTTGGGTTCATATGTTCATATAAGCTAGTAGGCTAATCCAATCTTTTCCTATATATATATATATATATATATATATGAAAAAAAATAGCAATAACCCATTTTCGGCGTAAATCAAAGAAGATACACATGTAAGGAATATCAGAATTCCAATGGAACCAAAAAAACAAAAAAGGAAAATAGTTTGACAGGGCTGCGGCCCTATGAAAACAAGTAAAGCCTTATCTCATAACTCATCAAAAATTATAAATCAAGCATTGAAAAACTTCTAAAATAATCATCTTAGCTTGAACATTACGGTTGGGAAAAAAAATAAAATTTCAAACTCTCTAAATAATGTAGATTGTAACAAATTATCTAGACCGTCCATTTTCGCTTTCATAGATTCACAAGATCTGTACCATTTTTTGAGTTTTAAATTTATTTTCGGTGTTGGAAATTGATTTTAGAACCATAATGAAGATTTTCGTTGTCAAAAATGCTTTCTGGATGAAGATTTGATGACAAGCTTTATTTTGTTTTCATAAATCCTAGGCCTTCTAGAAATTTCATAAAGAAAAAACACCCATGGCCATGGTGGGACTTATCCAAACAGCTTAAAACTTACCCCAAAAGGCCACATGTCCTCAAACATCTGGCATTTTCAAGCTTTTAATTTTTTTCTTTTAATGTATAGAGTACAGTAAAATTACCGATGTTACCTTTGGTCCATAAGTTCTCATGTTTTATCATAAGGTCCCACTCCCTATATATTTATAGTTGAGTCGTTTTTTAAACCAAGGGTTCCAATTGCCCTCCAATTTGATTTTCGAGTAATTTTTTTTCAACATTTATTTTCTTTAACATTCGTAGGGCGTTCTGATGATTAATATATCGAGCAAGCCCATTTTAGGGCCATCCAATAACAAGGACGTCGGACCATCCTATGTTTTCGTCTCACCACTTTATATGGGGTTGTTAGACGTCCAAGCTTTTTAACATGATGCTTAGGGCAAAAAAAAGGTAATTCAATAGCAGACCAATGTTCAAAAGCTCAGATCACTAAAACACAAAAAACAATGAAAAAGGTGTCTAATGTTTATAATATCAGACCGCCCCCTAGATAATAGTGGGCCAAAAATGTAGCTCAATCCGATGTTCCGACTGCCCTAGAAATGGATTGGTTCGATATATTGAATATTTTACTGCCTTATAAATGTAAAAAAAGAAAAAAGAAAACTAAGCTGAAAAAAAAATTCAATGTAATGAACATCAAACTGCAAGCAAAATTTAAAAACATATATAAAAAAAGAGTAATGATCCTATGAGACCCTCCCACACCCATGTGTGTATGACTCCAAAGGATCACTATTAAATTTGGTACAAATCTTTAGAAATAATTAGGTGTGAGACTTGACTTTTCTAGATATCTATGTCAAATTTAATGGTGATCTTTTAGGGTCCTACAATCGTAGGTGTGGGAGGGTCTCATAGGATCATTACTCATAAAAAAAAAGAAAAAAGAGTAGAACCTCATAGTAAAATATAAAAACTTATGAACTAAAAGTTAATTTCCAAAATTTTACCCGCTCCACACTTAAAAACCCCTTCAACCAAAATAGTCCTGCCATGTATCGACCACGGTCCTACATTGGAAGGCAACTTTTTGCTGTACTTTGGTAGAGATTTGCTCAAAATTACAGTTGACCAGTTATGTAGGTATCATTTACGTTGGTAGTCTAATGTTGGGCTAAGTAATGTTATTTTGGGTTCTTTGGCCCAAAGTTGTCATTTAATTACAATGAATGATTCTATTTATTGAAAACTAAATGATTCATTGGTTGACAAGGAATTGCGCTACTTTCCAAAAGAAATTTAATAGGAGCTACTTCCATGGCTTCACTTTTACTACTATTTGTGTTCTTGGTCCATAAGAAAGGTAACAAGGACATTGCCTCTAAGTTAGAAGTCCACAATTCTACAAGTTTCACTCACCTCCATTTTCATTACTTTCTTCCTCTTTGGATGTTGACCTCTCATCCAATCCCATACGTAGAATAAAGTAAAGGCAAGTACTAGGGACCTATAAATGTCCAAAACTAAATTCATGAAGCGCTATAGTATTGATAGGGAGCCATATTAATGGAAGACACGCCTGTACTTCTCCATGGGACACTGCATGCCTCAATCTTCCATGCCACCAGAACTCAACCAAATTCTCCTTCTTGCCTGCCCTCCTTTCCTTTTAAGGTAAATTGTTGTTAAGGTTTTGAAACTAGGAGAGAGAGAGAGTCTAAAGAAACCAATATACATCTTTTTTTGGTTTAATTAGCATGATCATCTTGTAGGGGTGGCGTCCAAAAATTAGACCCGACGGGTTGGGTCCGGGTCCAAATCTTAGACCCAAATACTATTTGGGTTTGGGTTCGGGTTCGATTAGGTCTAGGTCCGGTTTGGTAATATTTTTTGGGTCCTAATATATGAAACAGTTTTAAATATATTTAAATACGTAGATATTTTAAATTTTGGGCTTGATTCGGGTCGGGTTCGACCCGACCCCTTGCCACCCCTATCATCTTGGAGGTGGTCATTTTTTAATGGACAAAAATGATAACTAGTTTAGCTTGTTTTTTATTACACAACGATTCTCTCTTATGAAACAACCCATATCCTCCACACTTAACCAGCATTTGATAGATTATCCAAGGTCGAGCAATCTAAGTTATTGGTGGGGCTTCGGTCCGTTAGCTGGTATTTGTTTAGTCATTTACATAATGACTGGCATTTTTTTAGCTATGCATCACACGCCTCATGTGGATCTAGCTTTCAGCAGCGTAGAACACGTTATGAGAGATGTTGAAGGGGGCTGGTTGCTCCGTTATATGGATTCTAATGGGACAAGTATGACGCCTCTTATTATTATGTACCTATTGGTTTCTTCAAGTGTTTGATATGTGAGTAATGATCTTATAGGACCCTCTCCCACTTATATGTGTAGGACTCCAAAGAATCACCATTAAAAATGGCACAGATCTTTAGAAAGTTTATCACATGAGTGTGGGGTTTGACTTTTTTATATATCTGTGTCAAATTTAATGGTGATCTTTTAGGGCCCTACATATGGGTGGGAGAAGGTCCTATAGGATCATTTCTCTTGATATGTTCGTTAGATTTGCTTTTAGTATTTTGAAAACATTCATAAAAAAAGATATAAATATCTTAAATGGCATTGTTGTTGCCGTATTTAAAGGAAAAGAAAAAGTCAAGATTAAGTTTGTTTCATCTATTGATACCTTAACCATTGTTAATGAAACAAACAATAGAGTTTAATTATTTTCATAAATATAATTGGTAATTTCTTTAAACTTGGACGTTTAAAGGAAAAAACAAGAAACAAAAAGAAAAAAAGAAAAAACGGGTATCATGTCGAGGTTCATCCCTCTCAATCAATGGGTTGGATAGGATCAAGTGAATAATCATTTCCATGTTTGGTGCGGTTGCCCCAATCGCCCTCAATCATCATCCAACTCATTGAATGGACCGCGATGATCCCTATGGTCATGCCACTTTTCATTATCATACAAATTATAGTGAGAATGGGTGGGACATGTTGGTAGTACCTTTGAGCCCAATCAAAAAGTTCGTTCTCATTAACACTTTAAAAAAATTGATTTTTTTTCATAAAAAATGTGTGTGAGCTTTGGGAGTGGTAATAGGTTGGGTCGGGTTGGGTCAGACTTGAACCCGAAAAAAAATTTATGAGACCTGGACTTGAACTCGAAAAAAATTTATGGGACCTGAACCCGACGGGATCTGAAACCCGATTGGATCTGACCCAAAAAAGAAATAAAATTAAATATATTTAAATATTATATTAAATATATACACGTATTGTGTAAATATTATAATTAAAATATGTAATTATATTTATTTAAGTATTAATGAAATATTATTAATATATTATTTATATAATAACACTATTCGGATTGGGTCCATATGGACCCAGCCCCGAATAGTACTAGGGTCTAATATTTCAATCTGGAGCCAACCAGGCCGGTCCAATTTTTGGACCCATACCCGGACCCAACCTAGGTCTGGTTGTCGGGTCCGAGGTCGGTCTATCCGAAAGAAAAAGCCCGGTCCAATTTTTTGGACCCATATCCGGACCCAACGTGCGTCTGGTAGTTGGGTTTGAGCTCGGTCTATCCGAAAGAAAAAAAAATAAAAAAAATAAATAAATACAAATCATAGTAAATACTTCAATCCGAGTGAATGTGCTCCATTTTTCATCATGCAGTGCTTCTTCGGAGGGGAGCAACCAGCATACGTGACCATAAAACTAGACAAAACCAAACTTGCAAAGAGCACCCACCAACACAACCGCACCTGGAACCAGAGCTTCCGCATCCTCTGTGCTCACTCTGTGTCCACCCTCCTCATCACCCTCCGAACCCCCCTCACCGTCCTTGGCACCCTCCGAATCCCGGCCCGCCGACTTCAAGCCTCATCTCCTCTTGAAGGACTCTTCCCCCTCGACAACTCCACGCCGAGGCTTGATCTCAGTCTCCATCTCCACTTCACCCCGGCTGATGCCCACCCTCATTGGAGCAAAGGCTTCAGTGCTTTCCCGAGCCTGGCTTCTGCTTCGTTTCCACAACGATCGGGGTGCGGCGTTCGCCTCTACCAGGATGCCCACCTCAGTAGCTCTTTTGCCGTGACTGGTCGACACTGGAGGCTATGGGAAGATGTGTATAGAGCGATCGATGGTGCGAAACACTTGGTTTATATTGCAGGGTGGTCACTTAACACGAAGACTGTGTTGGTGAGAGATCTTGAGACCGATGTGCCGGGAGCCAGGGGGGTATCAGTTGGTGAGTTGCTGAAGCGCAAGGCCGACGAGGGCGTGGCCGTGCGGGTCATGCTTTGGGATGATGAGACATCGCTGCGTGGCATCAAGAACAGTGGTGTCATGAGGACCCATGATGAGGATGCGTTTGCCTACTTCAAGCACTCAAAGGTGGTTTGCCGACTGTGCCCCAGGGTCCATGCGAAGGCACCAGCAGTATTTGCGCACCACCAAAAGACCATCGTCGCTGATGATGCCGGCAGGGCCCTGGTGAGCTTCGTCGGGGGTGTGGACCTCTGTGATGGCCGCTATGACACCGAGGCCCACTCATTGTTTCGTGGACTCAACGACACAGGCTCTTATGCTCGTGACTTCTACCAGACCAACATTGCTGATGCTTCACTGCACAGGGGTGGGCCTCGCGAGCCCTGGCACGATGCACATGCCCGCATCACAGGACCAGCCGCATGGGACGTCCTCAGCAACTTTGAGCAAAGATGGAGAAAGCAATGCGATCCTTCATTACTTGTCTCGATCGAAGCTCTGCGAGACCTGCTCATTCACCATGACGATAATAGCAGCAGAGACTACTGGAACGTGCAGGTCTTTCGATCCATCGACCATGCCTCAGCGGGTGCCTTTCGATTAGGTCACCCCCCTGTGGAGTGCAGTATTCACGAAGCCTACATCGAGGCCATTCGACGAGCATCGAAATTCATCTACATCGAGAACCAGTACTTCATCGGGGGGTGCCATATGTGGGAGACAGACAAACACTGTGGCTGCAAGAACCTAATACCAGTCGAGATTGGGCTCAAGGTGGCAGCCAAGATACGAGCCGGAGAGAGGTTTGCGGCATACATCGTGATACCGATGTGGCCAGAGGGGGTGCCGGATAGTGAGCCGGTCCAGGACATATTGCACTGGACTCGGCTCACCATGCAGATGATGTATGGGTTGGTGGCTGAGGCCCTCTCAGATGTGGGTGGGGGGATGTACCCTACTGATTATCTGAACTTCTTCTGCCTTGCAAATCGAGAGAGGGAGAGTGTGGGAGAGTTTGTTGCACCCCACTCTCCTAACCCTCACACTCCTTATTGGAATGCCCAAAAGCATAGGAGATTCATGGTATATGTTCACTCCAAGGTCATGATAGGTAAGCAATGCATTACTTAAATTCATTTAATTAGGAGCTACACCTTGATGCTTTAGGATATCATACTGGGGGCTTAAATGGTTAGCAATTACATTAGCAATTCTTTAGGAATCGGGTTAGGGCTTAAGTAGGTAGCAATTATGTTACGTGTACTGCATCTCGAGTTTGATTCCAACAATTGAGCAACCCCCCAAAAAGACAGTTTCTTACTATTATGTTAAGGGACACATCACTTGATCAAAGAAAAACCCCTGGGTTAATCATGTCTATGCAAGAATTGGGATGTGAGGCTTGTTTAGGTGCCTCACAAGTACCAGTGTAGGACACCATGATTTAGGAAAGGAACTCAGCCACATGCCTAGCCCAATTAGCCAAGTAACTTGGGCCAATTTCCCAGTTATTTGGCCCTAGTCAGGCAGCGTCTGATCAGACTAAAAAGAGTTAAATATATAAAAAAAATACAAAACAATCTCAAAAAATATGAAAAATATGTTTTGAGTAAAATTAAACAAAGCCCATCTAACAGTGGTTAAAAAAGTAGTGAAAAAGGGAAACTGAAAAAATAAGTATTCATGGCCAAAACACTTTCTAATATATGTGAAAATAATAGAAAACATAAAATAATACATTACAAATAAATTTATTTTTTTATTATTTTTGTTGAAATTGTTTTGTATCCCCGAGCTTGAAGACCAAACTTGCTCGGGATTGCCAGGGTGGCGAGCCCGAGTTACTCTGGCGAGTCCGGGTTGGCTCCCCCGAGTAGTCAAACACTGTAAGTACTAGATTTATCATACGAAAGCGAAAGTGACGAATTCTTGTCCATGAATACACTAGGATAGAAGATATCTATGACATTTAGATGGTACTTAGATGGTAAACCTCCTAAGAAGCCTTAGTTACTCAGCCATAAATCTAATGTCCTGTTTTCTTATCTGGTTTTCAGTTGATGATGAATTTATTTTGATCGGGTCTGCAAATGTGAACCAAAGATCCATGGATGGCAAAAGGGACACTGAGATTGCAGTTGGATGCTATCAACCCAGACGACACGAGTGCGGGGATGTTGGTGCCTACAGGAAGTCGCTGTGGTACGAGCACACCCGTTGCAGTGATGAATCCTTTATGGAGCCACACAGTGTAGAGTGTGTGAGGAAGGTGTGCAGCATAGGCAACGAGATGTGGCGTGTATTTAGCGGAAAAGACGTGGTGGACATGGAAGGCGTTCACCTAGTGAAGTATCCTATCATGGTGGCAAAGAATGGTGAGATTGAAGATACTGCAGAGGGGAATGGGACATTCCCGGACACGAAAACTCCGATTAAAGGGAAGAGATCAAAGATTCTTCCTCCGCTTCTTACCACATAGGAATCCATGGAGTGATCAAAATGCTTGACCTGTGAATATGCAAGCATAATTTGTTCAATTATAAACATTTAGAAAACGTATCAAATGTGATGTTGAAATTGAAGGAAACAAGATAAAAATGTTAATATTTGGCATAAAACTGCGTAGAAAACATGGGAAGTGATTAAACTATCATGAGCTTGATGAATCCATCCATTGATCTCAACAAACGATACGATTTACGACTTGGTAGGGGTGATGCTTATTCTTATTTCACGAGGACTTCCGCAGGACCAGTTCCCATTAACATAAATTGGAAAACATCAGAAGACTTCAAGCTCCCACAAGAGCATATTTCTATTACTCCTGGTAGATCTCTTACATGAGTATTTTTTGATCCAAAATTTTGGTGATGTATCCACTTCAACCTAACTACCAAATTCAAAAAGAAAAATTGGAACATGGGCCTCAAAAAAGTAAACATTCTAAAATTGAATATACACAATACAAATTTTGGATAGCCAAATTTAAGTATCAAATTACACGAAATTCAATATTTTTTCAAAAAATAATCATCTAGTTATTATTAAGTGGTTTAGAATTTCATATAAAAATTTTCTAAGTCAAACTTTCACCCAAGGAAGTAAGTGGACAATATGATCCCAAGGGAGTATAGTATACGTAAAAATACATAAACACTAAAGGGAATAATCCAAACATTTCATGTTGATTTCCTAAGAGTCAAGGAATACAACTTTTGGACTAGGGCAGGCAATGGGACCGTGGCCCGGCCTGGCCCTAAAAGACTAGGGCCTGGGTTAGAAAATGTGGCCTGACACCAGAGTCCTTGGGCCATGATAGGGTTGGGTGGCCGGCAAAGTATTCTTTGCTCTCTTATTTTTTATATTTTTCTTTGTTTTTAATTAAGCCCTGCCTAGGCCTTGTCTGGCCTAGCCCAGACTACGCCTGGGCCCCTTTGGCCTCGTCAAGTCTGGGCTAGGCAGGGCCCGGCTCTTTAGAGTTTGTTAATTAATGCCCTTGACTCCCTATTTCTTTATGAGTAAATGTTTTTCCTTCAAGGGCATTTGACAATTGGAAATTTAATACCAAAAGCTAAAATTTATATTCACTGTAGCAATTCCTAGTTTCACAATTGGAAATTTGGGCGCTAGAAGCTAAAATTTCTAATTTTCTATAGCAATTCCTAGTTTTGACATCTTGAAATGCTAAGGCCAAAGGAAAGCAACATTTCTCAAATTAAATTTCTCAACAAATGGGAAAATACGGATTTCCCATGTTTTGGGTCATTTTGTTGTTTTGAAAATAAGGAAATTTATCAAAATACTCACAAGAGATGAGCAATTTAAGAACTTATCCTTTTGGAACCATTCCAATTCAAGACTATGTATTATTTTATGGGTATTTTGAAATTAAATGAAAAGGTATGGGTAAAGTGCTAAATTGTTCATCTCTCATGGGCAATTTGATAAATTTCCCTTGAAAATATGACCTATTTATTTATATTTTTTTAATTTTTTCCAAGTCATATCAAGATAAAATTTGGAGGGTGCATGTGCCTCATCGGGATGCATATGTACAAAAATAATAAAAATATGTCAAATAAATTAGAATGACATAAATACCCCACAAAATTTTAGAGGTATTTTTGTCATTTAAGTTTGTAAAAATATCTTTCATAGGCGATTAAGGCTTAGATGTATAGATTGTCAAAAATTGATATCAACGGAATAAATATATATAAAATATTAAAATTAATATACTCTAACTTGCTCTAAGCCATCCAATCAAGATTTGATAGTTGTGAATGACACCGTTTTAGATTAACTATATTGTGGAGTTTTAGGGGTGTTTTGACTATTATATTTTTTAAAAATATTTTTGATATTTTCACAAGTTAGGATGAGAAGCATAGATGCCAAAAATTTTAGCTCAATTTAATGTATAAGTAAAAATAAAATTGAAATACTCATACATGCTCTCAATTGTCCATGAGGGGTACTATGATCATTCTATTTTTTCAAATTATTTAGGGTGAGAAGTATAGAGGCTATGGTTTTAGTTCTGACATGTAAAGAAATTGAAAAACTCAAATATTATTGCAATGTCTCCAAAAATCTTTTCTCTTTTCATGTGATCTAGACCATCAAGTTTGCTAGACCCGATGTTCAAGAAAGCGAAGGTATCCACCTAGGCGGATGCCCAGGGACAAAGTCAGGGTAGGAATCCCCCTTCCTACCCCAACCCCCAAACCCCTTCTTCAACATACTGAGCATGATGATGGAGACGATGATGATGCTATGCCATCATCATCAGATTCATCACCCTGCTCAACATATTGAGCATCATCCCTCGCCTTTTCTGAATCTGATTCATCCTCATCTTTCAATCCCGTCAACCTCTTTTCCTTCTCCTTTACCTTCCCCTTCCCATTCCCTTGGCTTCGAGATTGGATCCAAGTGGTCCACACAGAGCTCATGGATGCCCTAACAGCCTCATAAACCTAACCCCAGGGTGATGGTCTCTCCAGGGAATAACTCTATTTCTCACGATCAACTAGCCCCTTGCATATGTCATCCATATCAGTAGCATCAATAGCCTCCTTTTCAATGCCCTCCAGTTGTTGATGACGCTCTAGCAACTTCTAATTGTATTAAATAATGACTAGCTCATTCAATCGCTTTCGCTCTAGTTTGTTCCCCTTCGTTATATGCGCCTATTAGAGAAAAATTGAATGAACAATTACATTATGAAAACATAAATACAAATACGCCAATAAACTTACTAAGTAAATTATTATGCAAGTATAACTATGTATTAAATAATATTACCATTTTAAAGATGCTGAAGTTGCACTCCAATCTAGACGAGCTACAAGTCAGATTTTGTGTGCCCATGGCTATCTACCCCAAATTTCGGTTGCTTCCCCTATGGTCCATCCACAATGCAGCTATTTTACATAAATGTAAATGTAGTAAATTAGGTATCGTGTAATTGAAATTCAATACTCAAACAATAACATCAAAATGAGGAAGTTCTAAACTCCCCAGAGCTATCTTGTCGTGTGCTTGATTTCCAGCTCCTTACCAAGAGGCCCAATAGAGGACTTGCAGCTTTCTAACTCCATTATTACCTTGTCTTGCACTTCGGGATTAAGGTTGAGCTTCATATTAGGCTGGTTGAATGTTGCTATAAATTCCCTTTTGCTACGTGCCTCTTTATCCATGTAAAAGTGAGTATAGTAAAAGTAGTACCCGACTAAGTTTAGGGGCTTCTCAAGCCGGTAGTTCCGTTTATTTTCAATAATCTTCAAATATGCCCCATATTTTTTCTCGTCATTCCTAAAAAACATATTGTTTTCTTTATTTTCATCTTCCATAGCTTTATAAATGTGCCCAGTAGTTGGTTCCTTCTTAGCATCAACCATTTTGAGAAGATCTACTAATGAGCAAAAAATATACAAGGGATACTGGACCTTATTCCAAAATCGTTTAGTCTAGGATAATATCCAAAACAATTTTCCCATCTGCTTTGTTGGCCCACTTGGAATGTGTCCAATCCATAGATATAAATATCGACCAAACTTGCCTTCAGATCATACAAGGATTCCAAGGACAAGTAGGCGGTGACAAATCTAGTCACCCTAGACCTCACTAAGTCTTTAGCCTTAGTAAAAATTTCTCATCATGGCTATAACCCGACCAACATAAAATTCCCTACGTAAAAATCTTGCAATGATTCATTGCATTCAAAAGAATCAAAATAACTAACAAAGAAGCATAAATGTAGTATAGATCATGTACTTACCTGAGTGTGATTATATAAATAAACCGTGATAGTCTCTTTTTTATGGTTGTCTGGATGAACTTTCTCTTACCAATTGCCTCAAGCATGAGGTTTATGCAGTGTGTTGCTCAAGGGGACAAGAAAATACGCAGGCTCTTCTCCATCAATAACCTAGCTGCCGCCATATTAACTGAGTGCAGATCAATAACTATATGGGCCATTTTGTCCTCCCCTATCTCCTCTATGTACTGGTCTACTAAAGTACAAATGAATTTTGCATCGTGGAACTTGCCTGAAGCATCAATAGACCTTAAGAACATTGTCCCTCGTGGATAATTCACCATCACATTTATAATGCTTCCATTCCTCTTATCGTGCCAACCATCAATCATGATTTTGCAAGCATATATCTGTTGTGCATCCTTGTGGGTCTTCAAAAAGTTATTATACTTCTTTCCTAAGTAGTGACCCTTTAAGCTCATATGTAATTGGAGGCTTAAACACTAGCAAAATTGGGCCACTGCTTCCAATATAATCAAAGCTATCTAGATTAAGAACATTAAAAGATATGCCTGCTTGGAAGAACCATCTGGCCACATATTGTGCCACCTTATCTCTACAATCTTTCTTAAAGTGGATCTCTAAACTTTTAAAATAGTAAATTCAGAAAAATAAAAAATCATCATCGTTAAAGCCTTTTCCCAACTAATTGGGATCAGCTACGCGAATCTCAAACTTTTCTTAACCCGTCTCATGCCCGAGTAAAAGAGTTGGGTTGTATTAGGTAGGCAGCCAATGTAAAACTTTAAAAAAACTTATTGTGAATCCATAAAAATAAAAAATAAACATTTTAACTGCATGAATAAATTACCAAATATTTAAATTTAAAGCTGAATAAAGTATACAAAAATGGCCCGACACCTAAGTTATTAGTGCCATCGCTTAAGCTGATAGCTCTAAACGTTCTAGGGTCCTTTACTTTATATTAAAACAAAACACATCAGTCTATATTACAATAAAAGAACCTATATTATGAAGAATTGTTCTAACAAATAATTGTTTCGCAAAAACTATCCACAACTCATTGATTAATATGTCTTCTTTGATTAGTACGATACCTTCGGTAGTCATATGCTGCACCATACACACCCAAATAAGCCATAAAAATTTCAAAGCAGCATGGCCACATTTGGTCTCTGGAAAGTGGAAATAGAGAACAAAAATTTGTTAGGTGAATCCACCTAAGAGATGATAGAAAACAATAACCAAGAGTCTTAACTAATAATTTTTTAAGCTCAAATTGATGTAACCTATTGCCAGGATACATGGCATCGTAATTCTATGAATGTAAAGCACATAACTTATCAATTCCAAACAATGGATAATACCCATAGTGGTCCTTTTAAAGAAGTTCGCTTCCTTAAACAAAAAATAGATCTCATGTTACTGTTTGTAAAATTGGATGGCATCCCCATCTTT